CATGAAATAACAAATAAAGGAGGACATACTACCTTTACTCTCCAACCACTTATGTATCTTCTTATTTTTTTGATGAACTGTAACTATATATAAAATCATCTAAAGAATTTAACTGTACAACAAAAACCTGGGCAAAACTGAAAGTTATCCAAAGATTGGATAACCAATCACCTCAAAAGAAGATGTTATCTAGCCTATGAAACAGCAAACAAGAACTGACAATGCTAGCCATGACAAAAAAAAAGGGTGATGGGAAGCAAGTAAGTTCTCAAAACACAACCAAGTCATCTGAATAGATACTATACAAAATCTTGTACACAGTGTACTTGATCCTTGCACAAACATCCTCTTCTGTAGGAGTAATTCCTTCAAATATCGCCACATTCCTAGTTCTCTAAATCCAGTAGATGGAAAAGCAGAATGCAATCCGTGTGGCTTTGGCCTTTATCCCGGCTCCTCCTCTTTCTTTCTTTATCCAGTTGATTGAGCTAGTGAGGGTGCTTATCCTTCTCGGCATTCCCACCCAATCTTTGATCCCTTTCCAAACTTTACCTGAAAATGAACATTCAAAGAAGAGGTGTGGAACCGTTTCCGGTCCACCCTTGCACAAAATACAAGTATTAACTACATCCAATCTAAATAGATTATCACACGTAGCTAACCTATTTCGGAATGTCAACCAAGTAGTAAAGGAAAACTTAGGAGGGATGTAACTTTTCCAGATAAAGGCCATCCACCTACGGGTGGGACCTTTAGCTCCAAGTAGATCATATACTTTGCAAGAAGATAATTTACCATTATGTTGAAAACTTTGTAGCCCAAGGATAGCATCGGGTATTGAGTCAAAATGTGTAAGCAATGCATCTCCTACCAAAGCAATCTTTTTGATCAATTGTGAGTCCCTATGGTGTGGAGAAAATTCCCACACATCTCAACCTTGGAGATACACGCCATGGATATGTATCTTCATAATGTTTGCTTTCGGTTGTATTTTACCTTTACCCTTAGCTTTAGAGGTGGTTGTACGAGACTTGTCAAATATGTTCTTGGTCGAGGTTGTACTAAACATAGCTAACTCCACTATGAACCTTTCTTCTTCTTGTACTCACATGTTCATTAGTTCATTAATTGACCACTGATCTTTAAGTGAGTTATAAGAGATTTAAATGGCACATAATGATGAAAAAGGGTATTCCGAATGAATTGCACCAAGAATGCGTCTGACAGTGTCACTGCCAAATTTGGCATATACGCACCCCATATTTGTGCATGTGTATATGCATGGGCGAATTTGCGCATACCTATATGAATTATTATTGTCTACACAATCATTTTATCTAGTCTCATCATTTCTTGTTTTAAATAGAACATTCTCATGTTTAAAAACAAAACCTAATTAACAACTTCAGGATATTTTTTGAAAGAAAATAACTAATTATTATTGATAAAGATAACAAGAACAATTATAATCGTATAGTTTAAGGCTACAATGGGATGAGACATAAACACAGACGATTCAAATGGAAAAAGCTGAATCGTTGATTCCGCAAAGAAGTAGACTCTACCTGCAGATTAACTACTCCTGCTACGATCACAATGTGATATGCAACCACTCCAGTTAGAACTTCATAAATTTTAGCAGAATAAGCCAAATCAACCGATTTTCGTGCTACCAAACAGGCTCGAAGTGTGTCAACGTATATTTTTTCTTATACATTTAAATAACTCATTATTGTCTTCTATCTTTTGTAGGACGTGGGCATTTTGAGGACAGTTTTTCAATGTATATACTATAGATACGCTCATACGCTAGTTTTGGTTTTCTTTACCTAATAATGCTTTTATAGCGGTGCTAATTAAAGCTGTTTTAAAGTGACTCATTTAGGGTACATATGTAACTTATCTTGCCGTACATGTTCCTAGCATGTTTTAAACTTGATGTATGACAAGAAGATGGATCATCATATCTAAATAATACTAGTATCTATATAATACTAGTACTTAGTACATGATATATATAGACGTAGCTTGAAAAAAGTCATACTTTTTCACATCAACTTTACTAAGTCCTTGAAAAATAGAAAGCTAGCCTAGAAACGTGATCATCCTTTTCCTATGGAAATTTACTCATGAGAAGTGATAGAGGTTTGAAAAAATAAAGGATCAAGATTGCTTATTAACAGAAGATTATGTACATAAACCTACTTGCGCATCCAAAAAAAACATAAACCTACTTGCCCATATTTGGTTTGTAGTCCTCATTCTTATAACAAACTGTGCTTCAGTTTCACACATTTGTAGGATATGGAGCATGTACATCAAAGTATTACATTACCTAATGTCATATGTCAGTGTGGTTTTGGTGCGATGGACTATCGAGAAATTATGATAGGGCTACTCTGCGAGTCGGCTTCCTGGTCATGATAGTGTTTATCTTGGTCACAACGTATGTTTTTCTTCTTAGATATGCTGTCTTATATTAAAGTGTAGTATATGTTTGATTTTCCAAGTGTAGTATACTAGTATATATTTCAACCAGTTCACGTTTGATTTATATTATCTGTTTACATATAGTAACAAATTACGAAATAGCCCACCCGAGTAGGGGATTAGGCTGGATGTGCAAATTCACCAAGGTAGCATGTTGTCACGGGGCGACTTATTTTACCTGTCTAGTCATGAGCCCACATAGATTACTCCGTAGATCGAGGGCCAAGTCAGGCAAACCAACTCCTTAGAGAACCCTTAACGATATAAAGGCAAGAGATTAGAGGGGAGTGAGCAAAGCAACAAAGGGGCAATTGTAATAATGGTAAAGAATGGATATCTTCGGATGATTGGAGCAAATCAGGCTCCTCCTCCCTATTTATAGTGCTAGGCTGCTAGCCATTCAATTTTTACTATGGAATGGCTATTGCCGTATTTTTCTAGTTATGGTAAAGATTATGTTGGCATAATTTTATCCATAAGATATACGTAGTATGATAGTATTATACTAATACGCAGTACTATAAACAAATCTCATACATGATACAGTTGTGCAAACAAGTTATGTTGAAAAACTCACAGAGATTAATACACTGGGAGTCTAAGGTGGTCGAAATGATTTTATATACAGATCTTGAAGGACAGCCATTTAGTACTTCAACCGCCCATTGATGGGTCTTCTCAATGCTGAAGTCCTCTGTAGTCAAGGTTTTCGGTTCAACGGTTTATATTCAAACAGCCTCTTCATCTGAATATCTGCAACGCTTCTAACAATGGCCACGATGACAACTATCCTACAAAGTCAATATATTCGATCTCACACAGAAGACAACTAAATAGTATTCAGAAATCATATCCATCAAAATATAACATATGTTAGTAGATTTCAAATAAGCCAATTAGAGGTGTTAATGGAAATTAGAAAATTCCAAGGCTAAATGAAAACATAGATAGTCTTAGTGACTGCATAAATTTCAAAGATCAATTCACACGTCTTTATCCAAGCATAATGACAAAAACAATACTCAGAATTTTACGTCAATGAGAAGATTCTAGAATTCATCATGTCTCTTATTAATGAGCAAATCTTGTATCGAACTATCGATCATCTGATATTGCAAGAAACACATCCCTCCATCCAAGCTATTTGAGATATGAGAATCAACTCTAAGAAACTAATACGTAGTACATGATAGAGTTGATGGTGATAATGAAGAACATTCAATTATCAAGCATGTGAAACTGAAAAAACACTTATTAGAAAAAGATTTATAATGGAGGCCTGAGTGCCATATTGGTAGAGTGGTGTTTCATTGATGATAAAACATCTACTAAATGTGCTTCATATCTTATTATTGAAAATATAATTTTGTTTGGGAGAGTTTCATATATGGTTAAGTTGATGCAGAGAAGAGTGAAGAATGAGCATAGGAAAAGAAATACCTGGATGGATGGATATTGAAGGACTGTGAATTGTCAAATAGGAGGAAGCCAGAGCCGAATGTCACATTGTGAAATCATTACCCTTCAAGGTGGGTATTGATAGTTGTAAAAAGAACAAACTTGGACTTGAGTCCAAATGTATAATGTGAAGGCCACCACTTGACACATCTTATTAATTTGACGTTTCTGATAAGGACAATCAATTATCATCAACAGCACTCACACAAGCAAAACATAGGGGGCTGAATAAATAGAAGAATGTCAGATAGTTGTTTATTTCACATAATAGGCACAATAAAATAGTGGTTAAGATCCCATTGGAACTCAGGAAATAGTAAGGAAATAAAAATAGGGAGGTAAAATTGAAGGATGTAGAAAGAAAAGAAATTCTGAGGGAAAACGGAAGAAAAGAAATTCTGAGTCCATGCTCAAAATTTGTTTCAGATATTTGTTCTAACTCATTTATTTATTTGTTTTCTTTATGAAATCATCAAGAAATCCAGTTGCATTTAAAAATTTGAAAAACCGTAATCATATTTCAATATTTTTCTTACCATTATTCAAGGTAAAACCAAACATAAAAGGCACCTTTTATTGGCATTTCTCGATTCATTTCCCAGATATTTTCCATGATTCAAACATGCACTTAAAGACAGTAGAAGAGAGGAAGAGAGCAGTACAGAGGAGTCAATCAGCCAAGAGATGAAAATAGTGAGAGAAAGGATTACAAGGTAAATAGAGCTGACAGCAAGCTGCTCGAGGGGTGAGTGCAGATGAAGACCACCAAATACCAATGGCAAAAGGTGACCAGTGACAATTTGCAGTCTGAATGGAAGAGGGGAGTGTGAGTGAGGGTTAAAGTTGAAAACAGAAATAGATATATTGTAGTGTCCACAAACCCTTTTCAATTGTTTGTAGTGTAAGGTAAAAACTGTTTTGAAATGATGGAAAAACAAAGTCAGCCCCTATTTAGCCGAAGAGGTCTCTCCTATTCAAAAATGCATTTTAAACATAAAAACCTGCAAATCACAACCACCCCAAACAAACCCCAAGAAGATAACACAAAGGGATGCTCCAAACTCTCAAAGCAACATATTTATTCATTTGCCAAAAAGCAATCTGTTTGTGTACATTTACACATCAAAATACAGTAGCTATCTTTACAAATAAAGAATAAGACAAGGATGCAATCACAATAAACAGGAATTCTGGAAATTGGAATCAGTAATGATCCCAATTCTACACAATATGGATTAACCAGGTCATGAGTACACCCAAAAGAATGCAATTGTATCACAGAGTTGATCTGTGCCCCTCAGTTCCTTTCCAGAACACAGAAATGCAGAATTATCCGTAGCACACCGCCTCGGTCCATGTAAATAGTAATCTAACATTCCAACCATCTCCATCAGATAGTGTCTCAATTGGTCCAACCCTTTCAAGCTTATAAGTGTTCCAAGAAGCTAACCAGCCATAAACTCCCCAAAATAGGAGTTTTCGAATTTTCACATTGGCTTTTTCCAATTTTCGAGAACAATAATAAAATCTGTATAGCACTATCACAACACTAGAACTCACACTTCATAGTCCTTGGGCAAATGAGCAATACAATCATATAGGCATAACCCTAGACTTGGCAGTTGCAGCTGGCAAGAAAATCTGCTGCAATAGTAGTACAACACTCACACTGATAACAAGTGGGCACACAACCACATAACCAACAAGTGGGACCAATAACAAGCTCCAAATAAATGTACTTCCCATAAGGCATGTTGACAGATCTGAACAGTATAGGTATACAAGGAATGCTGTGCAAAACAACCAATAAACGTTTGTCTAATGAAACGCCCAAAATGGTGACAAAAAAGTGTCAGGTTCAGCAATGGAGATGTGATGAAACAGCCTCAAGAACTTCTAGATATTGTTGCAGAGTGAAGCCTGCAGTTTCAAAGTGGGAGTGAATAATTCAAAACTCATTTATCAAATTTCACATGCCAACATTTGAAGGAGTGCAAGAAGGCACAAATGGAACACCCTAATGAGGGTTGCATTCTTTGGAATAAAAATCATTCTTCTCAATCAAGCCTCTCAGCATCGCACGGCTAAAGTTCGGGCTGTTAGGGTCACTTGTCTGTGACTCGCTAGACGAATCTGCAGTCTGCGGAGGCTTAAAGCACAAGCAACAATCCCCACCACTGCCACCTAGCGCCGCTAGCCCAAAGCACCCCGGAACACACGAAGTGCTGCTCCTATGCTTACTCCTCTTCGCACTCCTCTTCACCTTTCTGAACCAGAAAAGAGGGAACTTTTTCCCACCCTTCCTATTATCAACATTAGCATCCCCCTCTATTCGCTCATTGGGATCGATTCCCCCGCCACTAGCGCCGCCCGCCTCCTCGTTGCTGCTGCCGTCGCCGCTTTGTATGACATCTCGACTCGATCTACATTGATGTTCACCGTTAGAAACCGACATAAAACACGCGGGCAATGAATTCGATTGATTCCAGACCAATTAATGACAAAACCCGAAGTCGTAATGCCGCCGGAAATCATGATCGGAGATTTCCATGACAAAAGATCGAGGCTTTTAACGAGAAAACCGTCCGGTGAAGCTCGTACCCTGTTATGACCGATTCTGGGGGAGAATTCAACCCGTTTGGGCGAATTTGATCAGATAAAGATGCCAAAGCTGACTCAGGCCAGATTGCGGTGGTCGATGTCTTGGATGATAATAACTACTCCTTGTTGGAGAAGGTTTGATCGATAACTACTCCGTATTTTGCAATAAATAAATAAATAAATAAAAAATCGTCGCTGTCCGTTCGAAAATCGGTAAGATGATTCCTATTTGCGAGTTTTTGGGCCATTGGCTTGAGCAGTTGAGCAACGGACACGACAGCAAAAAAATCTTTTTTTTTTTCAATTCTGTTGACGTGATCCAGTTAAGGCTCTGTTTGCAAACACAACTAGAAAAGCACTTCCCAGCTTTTGGCTTAAAAAAGCTAAAAAAGATGTTTTCAAATGACAACTTCTACTTAAATGAATTACTTAAAAGCTAAAAGCTAGAATCTGCTTTTTACTTTTTCTATTACACAAAAAGCACTTATTTTACCAAACACCACCAACTTTTACTTTTCAAAATCACTTTTTTCTCAAACACTACCAACTTTTACTATTAATCACTTTTTTACCAAATCATTTAAAAAAGTTAAAAGCACTTCTCAATAGGGTTTGCAAACAGAGCCTAAATCTGATGTAAGAATAGGCATGTCCGCATGTTTAGCGTGGAATTGGTTTGATTTGGATTGACTTTTGGTAAACTCGAAAATTATTTGTAAGATTTAGGATGTTTTTAAATAGATTAGACCATATCAGACTTCCGTAATTATAAAATACACAGAGACCAGACGTTTACCAGACCAGATGATACGCACTAATTGTGACAAAGTGCAGGTCACTAGACCAGACCAGTTCAAACCAAACCAAACCAGACCAGACCAGCAAATTTCAGTCCAAAAGAAAACATCATTAACCATTTGAAGTCGTGAGAGACAAAAATGTCAAAAATGGACTTCCTCACGACTATCATTTTCATGAATTTCAGCACCATCAATAAAATATCAATTTAGTACAATATTAATTAAATTATTATGAGTAATAGTTTCCTTTTAATTTTTCTCCTGATTAATTGTGAGATAAAAAAAGTAAACATTTCGATATAAAAGTAATTAGATATCATTATTTTTTTACATTTATCGGTTAACAAAAAGTTTGATTATGAAATATTTAGTTATTTATGGAGGCTCCATGAATTAATAATTTGTGTTTCGTGTTTTCGGGCCCTCCTTTCCCCATTTCTTTACTTTTTCTCACTCCTATCAAATCACCCTCTATTTCTAATACGATTCATCCTCTTTCCCACTTTTAATATCTATTTTAGCCTACCACTACATGAAATTAGGAGTCCGAAAATTCATCTTTAACATTTTGGACTCTTAATACTACACCGCTCCAAATAGTCTTAAGATATGAAAATATGAAAATGAAGGACCAAAACAATGATCATTATATTCGGTTCGAGTCGGAGCTTTGATAGCCGGGTTCGGGTATGGTTGTTTAAAGCCAATGTGAAATCTCCACACTACCATTTTGATTTTTAGATCTATGTCTTCAAATAAAATTAACCACAAATACAAATCAGAAATAATAACATAAATAATAGTCTCCAAAATCACCAACAATAGTTCAAATCCAAACAACATAGTTTTTCTTAATATGCATTTAAGATACAAATGAATAAATAATATTTGTGTATTACGGAGTATATATTGATTTTATATTACCGGAAATCATTTCAGGTTTTGACCGGTTCATGTTAGGTTGTGTTCCATATATAATTTTAGGGCCTTTAGAGAGCTCAAATGTTCGGGTTTGGTCCGAGTATTTTTAATCGGGCCATCGAATGTGGTGGGTCTGGCACGTTCATGCATACAATGAGAACGATCCAGGTATTAGTATTGACATGTGTTGCCTCCGACCCAGGGGTGGAGCCAGGATTTAGTCATAATGGGGGCCAAAAAGGAACACAAAGAACAAAAAAAATCTCTAAACAGGACTAAAATGAAAATAAATTTCATAAATAGGATAATCATTGTTTTATTCTCAAAATAGGTCTTATTCACTCATATTTTGGCAAACTCTAATCAAATTATTTTTAATAGTACTAAATAAGATCTATTTGAGGAGTAAAACTTATTTTGTCATATTTTTAATCATATATATGTAATTATTTCATGAGGAATGATCCTGTCAAAATTACCTGACGGGATCCACTGGCTGAATGCATAAGTTTGTAGTGCTTCCGAGTAGAATTTTTTGATGAAATTTGGTGACAATGTTCTTCATGATATGTAGATTATTCACATCAAATTTCGGTTTAAAACTTAATCGACGAGTCGATTAAATAAATTATTGAGAACACTGCGTCAAAAAATAAATAAAAAAACGCAGTATTTTTTCATAATTTATTTAATGCACTTCCCGATTGAAATATAAGCTGAAATTCGGTGGATATAATCTACACTTCACGAAATACATATTCACAAAATTTCATCAAATTTTTTTATCCGAAAGCATCTCAAATGCAAGCTTCTTTCTCGTAATTTTGACCCAATCGTTTTTTCCTTATTTCATACATACTCCGTAGTATGTAATACTAATACTACTAAAAAATAAAAAGGTTGGGAGGGGCCATGGCCCCCTACCCATACACACACCTCCGTCCCTGCTCCGACCTACCCCGCCCTGTATATGAATATATATTTTTTAAATTATATTAAAAATATACATATGTACATGTATATGTGTAATAAATCATAATTTTTTTGTCTTGTACGGAGTACTATATTACCTCACATAAGCACATATTTCTAATAGATAAGATTGAATGGATTATATGAAGCATCAGATTTGAACAAATCATACATCTTAGACTAGAATGGATGATACTTACATGTTTTTACTTGGACTGTAATTTGTCCCAGACCAGACCAGTCCAGACCAGACCAGACCAGTTCAGACCAGACTTGGATAGTTATAAAAATACAAAGAAACTAGACCTTACCAGACCAGACCAGATCAGACCTGTAACACCCCACCCGGCCCGACCCTGCCGACCCGAGTGGCGCGTCACTTGGCGGAAAATCAGAACGGATTTAATCAAAAATACTTTTCGTGGTTCAAGAAATAGTACCTTTTTTTTTTACTTTGAACACAAAACATTTAATAAGAGATTTTATTACTTAAAATAAAGTATATTAATTCCAAAATGACTTCATTACTAAATACCAGAAAATGTCAAACTCACATGGAGTAGAATGTTATTAAAACCGACATAACTTAAACATCATAAAACACTTCAAGGAGTGCAGCGGAAGTTCTTAAAATCACATACGACATATTGAAGTCTTTTTTTTAAAAAAAAAAACACCAAATAACATGGCATGCAAATGCGTCCTACGCCTCTTTCCATCCTCATGCTCCTAACGGGTTCCGTGCTCAACCTACGGGTAGGAAAACACACAACTACCCGCTCAGCAATGTGCTGAGTGGTACGGTAATAACAATAACGATAATATTAACATATCAAACATATTAATATATCATAATTCACATCTAATCAGAAAAACATATAACATACCTGGGTGAACCGAGCAGTTGTTATAAAAATACAGATATTTACATACAGAATAGAATCCTACTCAGATATCATAACTGTCGGATAATTTTATTCTGAGATAATTATTATATTCTTCTTGTGTACAGAAGAAAAGCATATTCAGATATCATAATTATCAGATAATTCTTATTCTGAAACTTATCATTGAAAAATACATATTCATTTAGCCTTGGACTCTAGAATCTGGACCTAGACCGAGGAATACTAACGGTAAGGAATACGGTCGATCGAAGTCCGTATCCACATTACCCAGAAGGAATGTGGAAACGTAATCGCCGGAGCTACACGTACCAATCCCTGACAGAAGCTAGCTGAACAGAAAGGACGGAGTCACTGAAGAGACCCGAACCTTAACAGGAGAGTAATAGTGCTCTAAAAATATTTCAGGAGTGTACGAAGTACACTAAATAGAACAGGAGTGTACGTAGTACACTAAACAGGAGAGCACTATTTCCTCTAAACAGAATTTCAGGAGTGTACATAGTACACTAAACAGAACAGGAGTATCCTAGTCAGAGTACCGGATCAAGAGTAAGGCTTTAAAAACATATTCTCTTAATTTAAATATGGATGTCATATTTAAATTTTTACACAGGAGCTCTTCGTTAAATAACTAATTATCATCAACCTATTTCATATTTCAGGATCTCGGTTCATTTATCAAGATTATTTAAGAATTTATACTAACAAAATGTGACCCAAGAAAATAAATCGTATAAACGTGTTCAGATTATTATAAATTCTATACTATTCAACATATCATGTCATATTATATAATTTGTCACAACATTACATCTCACGTCATACACCAGTATACCATCTAGGCACCTAGTTAAGTATTACATTACATGCATGTTATATCAACCCGGCCATACATATATGATATACCCACCTAAATGTTGATATTAACATAGGCATGTGATCTAATAATTTGCATGCATGCTAACAAACTCTACTTTTAATACTACCGTAAATACTTTCTGTATAATTTGATCGGAGTCCGTAAGATAATTATTAATTATATTCTTATAAAATAAGATCCATTTTCAAAGATTATTTAGCACTTAATATCAATAATTACTTTTAAATTACACTACGTATTAAGTAGTATGTCGTGTGTATATGTACGTATACCTACCAAGCTTTAGTTTAAGAGTTGATGAAAATAAGTATTGTACGTTCTATTTAAAATTCTATTTGAAATATTCGTAACAAAACATTATCCATAAATGATACTTCGTAATTGGTTATATTATTATAATTTGATAATAACCACATTACGTAGTACATGTTTTCATCTAATTAAGTATACTTATACCTATATTCCACTCATATATGCTTTCAACTCAAGTAATTTCAAGTGATATTATACTAGATAATGCATATATTACGTAAAGCATTGTGGTCCATATACATTCGTTCTTAATACCTAAAATATTTGGATTATATTTCAAAATCCTATTCCAAAATACCCTTTAATTGTCAGTTTTTATTTCCGCTACGTAGTTTCCTTCTATTTTGCAATTATTATTAATTGGTAGGAAATTTACTTTTTATACCTATTACCTGCCTGGTA